TAGCCATTACGCTAACTGCTAGTCCCAGGAACAGTAATTCTTCTAGCACTGAGTTTGGTAATACACTATATCTCAGAAAGATAGGATCTGGTAAAATTTTTTTAAAAATAATTATTTAGTTTTGTTTATCATTATCATCATTATTATTACTAATTAAAAAAAAATTGGTCAGAGAGAGTAAGAGAGAGAGGCAAAGTGAGAAAGCAAGCCACCAGGTCTGGGACTTGAACCATGGTCAGCCATGTGGGAGTTCAATGCCTCAACCACCAGGCCACCTGCCAGCCCCTCTGGTCAAAATTTTAACATAAAGAATACCAGGTTGGGCCAGCTCATGGTGTGGTGGTTGAGGCAGCTGGATCCCACATGGCTAACTGTGTGGCTTCAGTCCCAGATGTGGTGACTTGAAAAACACAATGGGCACATGTATGTGCCCAAAATCCTGAAAGAATGAAGAAATGGAGATGGAATTGTGGCATAGCCATGCCCCTCTGGAGTGCTTTCTCACTCTCTCTCTTTGCTTCTCTGGCAATCAGATGTGCCCTCTGGCGAAAGAGAAGAACAACAAAATAAAGAATGAACGAATGAAAAAACAGATGGACAAAAGAAAGAAAACCAGGCTAGGAAATTAGGAGGCTCAGGCTCTAGTCCTGGGCATGAACTTGGACAAGTCACTTTATTTCATTTCCATTCTTTCATCAATAAGGTAGAGACAAGAATACCGGCTCTCTTTTTTCTACCCACAGTGACAAATGAGACTATTTGTAAAATTCTTACAGTATTTTAATAATACTACTTGCATGACATTTTATCCCTTACAAAGTGCTTTTCCATACTTTCTTCTTTTAACTTCTCACATAACATGTTACTTTGATTTAGGATATTAGTGCTAGAAGGGTCAATCATCTATAGTGGTCTAATCCCTTCACTGTGTAGATGAGGAATCTGAGGCCCAGGAGATCAAGTGACTTGTTCAAGATCACTTTGAAACCTGTGCATAGTTTTTTCATAATATACATTTTCCATGAACATTTTGAACTTACATCTCATATATTTAATTATACAATATTCTTAGCATTATTAGAATAAAACTTGAGAGAATATTTATGTATAATTTCATGATGGGAAACGTGTGTTTAAGAGTAATTGTTGGGGTTGGCAGGTGGCGTGGTGGTTGCGCTGGACTCTTTCATGGTAGCTGCTCTAGACTCCTTCACTTTCCCTTTCTGTCTCTCTGGTCAAAATTGAAAATAATAATAATAATAATAATAATGATAAAATGACTTTCATGCAAAGAATCAAGGTCTATATTTATTGTATCTACAAGGATTTTGATCAAAAGAGCAGTTGTAGGGGCTGGCAGGTAGCATGGTGGTTAAGGGTGCTGGGCTCCCACATGGCCAACCAGGGTTTGAATCCTGGACCTGGAGGCTTGGTTTCTCATTTTTTCTCTTTCCTGCTCTGACCCTCTCTGGTAAAATTTAGAAAAACAAACAAACAAACAAATAAATAAAGTTAAATTAAAAATTCTTTAAAAAAAAGTAGTTGTAGCATCCATGCACTTTGTGAGGTTGCTAAAAGAGAGAAACTAGATTTTATGCCAACTTGCTCCTCTTAAAGTCCAGTTATATTATATTAGCCTCCAAAATTATAAAACCAGGGGAAAAGACTAGAAAAGAATGATCTCTCACTGTTTCAGAAAACAGGATTTATCACTGATAGTAAATAATATTTACTTGCAATATTTACTATACATATATATTTCTTTTAAGTTTTTTTTTTAAAATTACTCTATTATTTTTCAATGTGATGAGAAAGAGAGAGAGAGAGAGAGAGAGAGACAGACAGACAGACAGACAGAAAGAAAGAAAACCACCAGCTCTGGGACTCAAACTTTTGTGGGCCATGTGGGAGTCCAACACCTTAACCACCATGCCACCTATTTACGATTTTTAATTTTTGTTTTTAGAGATTTTTGCTATAGAGTGTATACATGTGCCAGAGAGACAGATAAACAGAAAAGTGTGAAATCATTCCCCAGGGGATGGCCACGCCACAATCCCTTCTCCTCTATTCTCCTCTCAGGATTTCGGACATGTACGTACACGTACCTGGCATGAATTTTAAGCTTCCAGGTCCAGGGCTTGAACGGCAGTTCACTATGTGGGAGTCCAGTGATGTAACCATTACACCATCTGCTTGTCCCTTCTATATGTCCCTTTTAGTCTTAGAGCAACAGTGCTATAATATATTAAACAAGTATACCCAGAGTTGATTCACATCTAGAGATTCCTTCCTAGAGGTCTTAGGCTTGCTATCATTTGTTTGTGTGAACTTCTCAACTCTGCCTATCACTTAGCTAACCTTTTTTTTAAAAAAGAAAAAAAAGAAAGAAAATTTTAAAGGTTTATTTTATTCATGGCAGTGCATACACCATGCCACTGGCTGACCCTATAGTTACTCTTAAAGAGAGAGAGAGGCCAGCAGGTGGTGTGGTGCTTGATGTGCTAGATTCCCAGATGGGTGACCGTGGTTCCAGTTCCAGATTCACTGGCTTGAAAATCATGCCGGGATGTGTACCCAAAATCCTGAGAGGAGAATGGATTGCAGCCATCCCTCCTTGGGGATAATTTATCACTTTCCCTTTCTCTGGCTCTCTGGCGAGCATACATGCCCTATGGCAAAAACAAAAACAAAGAAAAAAGGAAAGAGAGAGAGAGGTATACTCTTGATAGAGTTTTGTCAGGCCATGATCTCCTTTTCCCAGCACCCTAGCTAGTCAAGATTCTGGGTACATGTACATGTGCCTGGTATGTTTTTAAGTTGACCTGGGGATCCAAGCTGCAGCTAATTACATGGCTTCCAGCACTGTAGTATAGCTTACCTCTTCTTGCACCACAAGGCTAGACCTTAGCTGAGCTTTTAAACTACTGGGTTGTCATGGGTTGTCAGAAAAGCCATGACGCATTTTTGGATAGTAAAACTATGTCATGACTTTTCTGACAACCCAATACATTCAGCTCATGCTCTCCACTTCAGTCATAGTAGATGGTCCACAAATGTTTATTATGTAAATAAATGAAAAGACAGACATGTTCTGCCTCTTTTCTTCCAGGTATCCTAACCCTCTATTCCTCTAAGTCTTTTTTATTTGGAGAGGTTTTCGCTATAGGGCGCGTGCACTTGCCAGACAGACAGAGACAGAGAGACAGAAAGTGAGAAATCACCCCCCAAGGGGGGTGGCCATGCTGAAATCTTTTCTCCTCCATTCTCCTCTTGGGATCTTGGGCACGCACGCACATGCGCCCGGTGTGAGTCTAAGCCACCGGGTCTGGGACTTGAACCGTGGTCGACTACATGGGAGTCCAGCGACATAGCCATTATGCTAACTGCTGGTCCCTGAGTCTTTGTAAAATGCTACTCATTGTCCAGGAAATATTCTCAGTTGCTCCCAAGACTGTATTTCGTTTTCCATTCTCTAATTTTGGCAATAGTCACTTCTTTCAGTGGAATCTTCCTAAACTGCACCTCCTTGGTTGGGCTTCAAGTCACTCTTTTCTTTTCTTTTCTTTTTTTCCCCCTTTTTACTATAAGGTGCATGTACTCATGAGAGAGAGAAAGAAAGAAAGAGAGAACACTCCCCCCAGGGAGTATGGCCACACTACAATCCCTTCTCTTGTATTCTCCTCTCGAGATTTTGGACATGTATACACATATACCCAGAGTGTTTCTCAAGCTGCTGGATCTAGGATTTGAACTGCATAGTTGGCCATGTGGACCCAGCTGCCCTGAACCACCATGCCAGTGGCTGACCCTATAGTCACTTTTAAAAACTCCTCAATCCATCTCTCTGAGATGAATACATTGAGTCTCTACTGTAAACTTTGGTTTCTTTGACTTGTTTTCCCATTAGATTATAAACTCTCTGAGGCTAGGAATGAGCTCTTAGTCACACTACTAGCACATGCTATATTGTATCCTTGACAATTCTAAGTCAAATGACTTAACACCTCCATGGCTGTTCTATTCCTCACTACTTGATTTATTCTGGTACTGTGGTTTTATAAAGAGCAGTTCCCCATGTGATAAGCTCTCAGTTAATCAAATCAAATAACCTTCTAGGAAGCCAGCTAAGGTAATTTGTGAACTGTTCTCTTCAAATAAAATGTGGCTGCAGGGCATAGTCAGGTGAATTGTAGTGCCTAGGAAATTAATATTTCAACATAAAGCATCTAGGTTTGATAATTATATAAGATTATCACTGTGTTAGTAAATAAAGTATGAATTATATAACACTATCATTGTATTAGTAAATAAAGCATGTCTCAAAGTCAGGTTGTTCCTAACTAGCCTTAACATGGTGTGTTTGATATTAATTATTAGTTTTTCCTGTAATTCCCTTTTCCCCTTAGTCTAGTAAGTGAAATCACTTTATTAGGGAAGAAGGGCAAAGTATCCACTCAGCTTCTGATCTGCACTTTTTACTGACTTGACCATTATGTGATGGAATAAACTGGACTCAGAGTCAGAATATTTGGTTTCGAATCCTGACTGTCACTTGGTTTTATGACCTTGGACAAGGTCATTTCTCTCCTGTGGGTCTCAGGTCCATCTGTAAAATGCAAGTGATAAATACCTCACTGTATTTTTTGCTATGACTAAAAGAGATAACATGCATGAGAATGTTTTGTAAACTGTAAAGTGCTATAAAAATATGAAGGAATGTTATGATCACTTTGGAATCAACTACAATTAAAAGGTACCAATTTAGTCTGGTAGGAACACTTAAACATGAAGAGAGCTTGCTTGTACACTCAGGCAGTCCAGGTTCTACCCAGAGGTGATTCCAATGCCCCCCTTAGTGTATTCATGCTCAGAATGGGATCCAAGGGGCTTAGACGCAGGGTATGAGGCCAGCACATTCCTAGATTGAAAAGGCTATTTTACCAGCAGTGAATACTAATGATTAGAATCCCTGACGGAGTTGAAGAGCTTGTTCCTACCCCTTGGCTGTTTTTCCTGGACACCTTAACCAATTTTGTTGGCTTCCATTCCTCATCATCTCCATCATCAGCATCACCATCACATTCATCATGCTCAATTACAGAATGTTCTGAGCAATATTTTAGATCCTCGATGTCCATGGTTTGCTCCAGGAACTTTTCTTTAACACGGGAAGGTTTTGGCTAAGAAAAAAGAATTGGAGTGTTTACTTAAGAACAACTAAAAAAAATACACGTGGTATTATATATTCCCAGTAGCTGTTGCCAGTCATATTATCAGCGCAGAAACTTCGGACTCCCTCAAATATACCTCACTTGGCTTTACTAATCAGAGGAAATTCTACTTTAGCCTTTCCCTTTCAGAGTCCTTGAAGGGATTAAAAACTGGAGGTTGACCAATCTGAGGGAGGAAGAGGGGATATGCGTGAAAATATGAGATAAATATCTTTGGATGGACAGCTGAACATTGCTCTTTTCTCCTGCTCCTCCTCCTCAGTTCTATTACATAATGCCTATGCATGGCCAAAAGTCAGCTCTCTCATAAGGGAGAATGCCTATGTTCTTAATGATTGTACTGTGGTTTTATTTGATACTCCCAGGAACACTGAGATGCTAGAATTTGGGAATTTCAGCTTTCCATCTCTTATAAAAGGTGATTATAGTACACTTACTCCAAACCTGGGCAATGGGCATTTTACCTTAGGTGGTATATATTCAAAAGAACAGTCTGGAGATAGAAGAGTATCCTTAGGAAGATGAGGTGTCTGTCTGCTGGCTACTTGAAGAAGAGTCAGCTTCTATTTGAAAAATAAAAAATAAAAAAGAGACAAGTATATAATGCAGGACAGCTTCTGGGAGTGTGCATGACTAAAACACAGATTCCAGACCTAGGCTAGCTTAAGTTTAAGCCTTAGTAAAGTGAGGCAGGGTTACAGTAGAGTAGGTTGAAGGACCTACTTTTCAAGATCAATACTAGACTCAGAAAAGGGCAAACTCAAAAACCTATGTTCATATCATTTTGAAATGCACAGACTATATCACATGGAAACTCAATGTAGACATCATGAAAAAGAACCATGTCACCACACTGAGGGTTGCTTCCATGAGCTGGCCTTAGTAGCAATGGGGTCTTCCAGGGCTTACTCAATGGGAGGGAAACTGTATTACCTGCTTGATGATTTCATTCTCTTGGAGAAGCTGTTGATTTTGCTCACACACTCCTCGCATCTTCTCAAGTTCTTCATCCTATTTCCAGATAATGTAGTGATAGGTGGGGTTATTTTGGATACTATATGTGGGTTAGCAAACAATTCACATAGACAAAAACATACTGCTGCCAAGTTGCTGGAAGCACATAAATTGTGCATAGCAGGCACTGGCACCCAGAAAAATGTCAATTCCCAGTTCCTAGGTACCCTGAATGCCACTACTATGCTAAAGCTCCCCAGTGGCTTTGACTTCAATTGTAGGAACCATGGGCTCTGTCCTACAAAGCCTTCCTTATTCTTTTCCATTCTCTAGCCTCAATCTCCTATTTGCATCAGGATATTGATTAGGAAATAACAGTTAGCCCTGTTTCTATTAAGTTCATAGATGCTTCTGTTCACCCTTCCCATCATAGACTAAGCAGTTTATTTGCTACTTTAATAAGCCTGATTAAACTACTTGGCACTTAAAGACAACTGGGTGAATGTGTACAACCTTAATGAGTCTGGTTACACATTAGATGGGAGGTACCAAGGAAACTATAAAGACTGGTGGTTCAGGAAAAAGATCTAAGTTCAACTATTTTAATTTTCTAACATGCTCCTTAAGGGTGTGGTGTTTCTAGCCTCTGGAAGAAATTCAGACCCCAGGCATTTTATAAACATGTCATGTCTTAGCTCAGTGGAACAAGCTCGGGAAGATACAGGTTGAATGCCCCAGGATTCTAAGTAACTGCTGGATGATTTCACTTCCTCAACTTTTTAGAACTCATGGTTTTTTTTTTTTTTTTTTTTTTACTTTTACTCTTTCTTTTTCTTTTCTTTTCTTTCTTATTTTTTTTCTTGGATCTTCGGCACCTATCAGAATAGGGGATGGTCACGCTGCAATCCCTTCTCCTCCATTCTCCTCTCAGGATCTTGGGCACGCACGCACAAGCGCCTGGTGTGAGTTTTAAGCCACCGGGTCCGGGACGCGAACCATGGTCGACTAAGTGGGAGTCCAGCGACATAGCTATTACGCTAACTGCTGGATCCCAGAACTTATGTTGAGGCAAAGCATGCAGAAGCCTCAAAATCTGATATGGAGTATGTACTGCTATTTTGGTACCAAAACTGAGGTTATTCTTCATGTGGCTACACTTCAAATACTCTTAAACTGATTAAATAGAGCCAAAAGGCAGTAAAAGCTATCATTATAAACTCTC